TTGTTCTAAGCAAGAATGGGAGCTTGGTTGAAGAGGGAAGTTTAAGGGTATTGGAGACAAACTAGTTCGAAACCCGAATGCCAATGAGGTCATGGCTTCACTATGTCAACAAGGGTATCCAAGCAAACGTGTCCATCATCCTTGGGACCCTAGCTTGACAGTCAGGAGACGATAACCGACGCCTAGTTCGAAGTGAAGGTTTTCAGTCATCTTGACTAAGTAATAGCAAGGCCTCCCCTCCTCTTCTTCCAACCACATCCGCGGTGCGCAAACAATCAACCTCGCGGGCGTTGGTATGTCGGCATGTGCAGCACGTGGAAAGCAGTCTGAACCTGTTGCGCGATATAGATGTGATGAACAGTTCACGCGGTCTTACTACACCAAATACGCGAAGCCGAGCATTCGCATGGCTGACCCAGTGCTCGCACCAGGGGAGTTAAGTTAAAAAGGTACCACGATCACAGTAACTTTGGACTGGGGATTAGTGGACCATAAGCCAAAAGTTGAGCAGTTTTGCCACCGGTCGGAGAGCAAACAGACATGCGCCGATTAACAACGAGGAATACGCAGGACCCCTAATAAACTCTTACACGCCGAGAAGTGGGAGTCAAAGCAGATGGTTTTTAGCTAAGTTACATGCTATCGGATTCGAGGGATCCTCACGCGGTCCGGTTGATTTCAATCGACCGTGCTTCGTTCACTCCTGGTATCCAAATTGCATTGAATCAGGCAAACAGGGGAAATCAATTCCGCGGATTGCTGTGGTGACGCACAGTGCAGCTGCATGACACCATAGCTAATGCCTGTACAAGATGTTGCCTTGGGTTGCATGAAACGTTAGGTGCATTCACAGATAGGTTGATATGATTGCGTGTTTCGCATGCGTTTTTGGTGGCTTTTTCAGGTGGACCACCACTTTTGTGTTCGGTCGTGCACGTATAGTTTTAATTTACCATCAGTATGCAATTCCATTATATTCGCTTTGATGATCATTCATCGATTATAACCTCAATGGTGAGCATAACCGCCAGACGTACAACTGCACCCTCTTTGCATGGAGCAGAATGAGTTAACTCCCAATGATTGCTTCGACATGATTAACGAACTTAAATGGACTAAAAGAAAGGCCTGAGCCCGATTAGTTTTTTCGTCCTCATGTATGGAGTCCTTAGGAGCTTGCTAGATACCTTATAGGATGCGGTGTTGTTAAGGAGTCACTGACACTATAATATTCGCTCCTTAATTTCTCATGTTCAGCTAATCCAGTTGACAAATTAAATGCCTTTCCCACATATACTGATTACTATTACTTTATTTGTTTTTATAGATATTGTCATTAGGAATACTTAAACCACCCGGCTTATGACAGGTGGAATTACTGTGTTTCGTTACACGGGTGGCAATCGACATACCGAACTAAAATGTGTGACCGTCGGTGTAGTGCCTAATTTAGCCCTATCTAGTGGCTGCATACAGTCAAGACCTGTGGCAGTCACATCGCTACTGACCTGACGTTTACCGTCGTTTGCCATGTGCAGTATGCTTGCTCATGACGAGAAAGCCGTCAGTTCGCCTACGCATCTGATGTTCCCTTCAAGACATCAACTTCTGAGCAACTGCTGCTCGTTAATGGGGTGCTCAGGTTTGTCGATGTGTTAGCTCTAAAAGGTTCTTTCGTCACGGAAGAAAGGAGAGCTTAGACCTCATCTCATGCCGAGTAGTGAACAACTTTCCCTAAATTTCACATCACTGAGTTTATTGAAATCGCCGATCCCGTATAAATCAACTTGTGTTAATCCAGGGATAATTTGAATGGAGACGTGCGAACCACTGATTACTCTGAAGGCCTACCACAAGTTGTACAGTCAACAATCTCAGATACGTAGGTAACACAGGAATTATCAGCATCTGACGGGAACAAACAATGTTGCGTATAAAGGTAATGTCCATTAAGTCTTACGGAAGTTTCTCCTGGGTTTCTATGAGGTACTCGTGGTACAGGATGTCACGACCCTAGGGCAATGCTACTTTGATTCATTGGCTCGCGGGTGCAATACCTGTTGACGGATGGTGCTTGGGCTACAGGACAATGGTGCCCCCCATCATAATACAAGGGTCTTGCTCCTTCCAAATCATGCTGAATATCGGTGTGCGGCTGAAGGTATACACAGCGCAAGCACCCTGTGGGCTAGATGTGAGCACTAATGTCCGTTCACTTGAAAAACGTAGTAATATATGTATCTGGAAACAAGCGCTGTCAAGTGATGCAAGAGGAATGTATGTAACAGGTATCCGTCTTAATACCATGTTGAACGCGGCTCCGTGTCAGTTCTATTAACTTTGACCGTTCTCCATTTTCGTTTATTTACAACAGGCCGTTTCTCGCTTGCAGTCCTGAATCAGGGAAAAATTCAGTGCAAACTGTTGGTGGTGCTAATGATAACTTGTGTATTCGGTTGTTATCTATCAGTGGATATCCTTAACTCGTTAATATTAACTAAACTAATCATTATTTTTGATGGGTATTAGGTTGGTCGAGAACAGGGCGACTGATCGCTGAATACCATGGTCGAAGATCCTAGCGAGGCTCATTGTGTGAAAACCCGTACGCGCAATGTGCATGCAGACACAAGCAGCGACGCACAACGATTCCATCACGTGTCCAATGAAAAATGCAGTCATCCAACATACTGTAAACGTGTGACACCAACTTCCAATGACTACTCAAGTCCACTCGGCTGGCCAGTACTAGACTAACCAATGAAATTGCGCCTCTCCCTCTGTAGGCAGGTAGCCTCCCAGGCAGCAGATTGTAGTGGTCAGTTCACTGACTTCGGTCCTTTCACCGGCGACTTGCCGGTCGAGATGGGTTTATGCACAAATGCTATTCACCGGAACATAAGAGTATGAGAATTGTTATGCGAGATTGTGCTGCACTGACTCGCTCCTATGATTCACAACCCCAATGAGTTAGGTCACACGTTGGCCACAACTCAGCCGATGCCGTACACGGAAAATAGAACAGTGGAAATTCCAGAAGCTGTTCATCGGAGTCCTTACTCAGTCGCCAAAACGGAACTATTCTTTCTTGGATTGACCATCTTCTATTACACATTCCTCGTATTTCTTGGTGTTTGCGGATGGATTCGAGCTCGCATTTGTCTACACCTTAAGCATCGCAAACAACGCTTTCAAAGACCGCCCCATTTTGAAATTGGTCCAAACCAATTACACATTCGTTTTGTGGAAGATGATGATTCCATGTGATCGGGTAAGCGGAGGCGGGTAGAAAAGGAATAATCGACACTCAGGTTGCGTAAGTGCTTCAGGACTACTTTGCAAGAGTTAAGGTATTTGTCTGACCTGCCTGAGTGTTGCATACCCCTCACATGTCCAGCACACTGTACAAATTCTTTTATGCTATTTTGTAACTGTATAGTTTGTAGCCCATGATACGAAGAAGTTTTCCTCCTCCTGATGTGAATTCCAGACATTGACGCAGCGTAATGCTTTCTGTCAACCTTCGGGGTACATGTGGATAAGGTACATTACTGTTTATCCTTCGCAGCCTGGTCTACTCTCGTGTGTTCGTGTGTGTGTGTGTGTGTGTGTGTGTGTGTGTGTGGGTGGGTGGATTGGTTTCCGATATGTGTGCGCTATCTTAACTTACATACGAGTCATACAATTCCCAGCTATAGGTTGGTCAGGATACACTCGAGCAACTGAACCGGTAACATCTTAACAGATGCTGGGAGTCGAAGGATATGTGACGTTTTGGGTTCATATGCGGGCGCAAGTCACACACCCAAGTAACTTGTAACAAAGCGGAGGCGGTAGTCACGTTCACTTTAAATGTCTTGTTTTACCCGAGAGAAACGTAGGTTTGTCGAGAGGTCTAGTTTTATACAGATAATGCGCATCAAGTAGTCCATACTCCTTAAGGTACACATAAATTTTGAATTCCGATTCTATCACTCACCTGTGTTCTAAGGCAGCGAAGGATACTTGTGTGGAAAAGTGGGTTTTCTAGCTAACAACACGACGATATCTTAGGATTCGCTTCGTTGCATAGGGGATTCAAACCAGTCGGTTTTTTTACAGTGTGTGTTCCCACCTCGGGATGCGGATGACAGTGCTGGATCGGCCTCGCAATGGACAGGCGCCAACCTACTCGTTTTAATAAACTATACAATATCCAAATTGGTTGATCTACCTACCAGGTAGTGTTTGGTGTTGACATAAGCTTGTCATCAAGTCACTTCAAACGCTCCCTTATATTTATGTAAAAGCTTGACAATCCTAAAAACAACGCAGACATACATCACCGGGTAGGCACCGATCGTTGAACTCATGTATGTTTGATCTACACAAAGCGTGTTATAAGCTTCTGTCAACCTATCATAGTTGTCCATCAACCCATCGGCTATGCAGTGTGGACGCCGATCTAGGTGAACACAGCTGAATTCGGATGAGTATGAAGCTTGGTGCTGCGGAAGATAACCACAGTGTAGAGTAGCTACCGATCTCCGTGAATGTAGACTAGAGATAGGAATCGCTAATTACGCCGAGTCCTTCTTTCTCAAGCCTCCTAGGCGAGTTGTTGATGTGCGCATCAATAATCCTCAACACAAGACAACCATTTTTATGTGACAATCGTTGCGTTATAAAAGTAGACAACAATTAATCATCAATGGTTTCATAGACGTTTTCAATGCAGTTTACACTACGACTGGCTTTTCTGTTTTCTGGCTCGCTTCTTTCGTGAGTGTCATTTTGCACCGGCACTAGTTCCATTTGATGCTAACGTATGCAGACGCGGCTTGGGGAGACCTCTCGTCTTAGTCGATCTCTCCTAACCATCCCGGATGCAAGCAACATACCGTGGTCATGGTTCCGCTAACATTTCGGTAGCCTTATCTGTGTGCGCTCACTGCGCCTAGCGTGATTCAAACAATCAGGTTCGGTGTGTCACTTCTTGCTGACTCGCGCCATTGTGAAAGTGTAGCGGTACGTAAACGGTGTTTGCCAATATTGAGTAACAAAACAATGTGACAGAACAACGGAACAATAATTTAATGCGAGCAAAATAGCTAAAACTTAACATATCTCATAGGATAGCCACGGTGAACCATGTAAACTATGGAAAAGGTGTCAGTAAACGCAGTCGCACCTATGATAGTATTAAAAACTGCAAATCCACTGCAAGTTCATAGAGTAACAACAAACGGGGTGTTTCTAATGACTGTCACAAGAGGTGAGAAGTGTGGAATGTATTCTGCGAGCTGACACTCATGTATGGGCATAGACATCGTGTCACATGCGATGGTACAACGAAATGTATGCATAGTAAACTTGGGTTTTGGACTCCATTACGGTGTTAACACACATGACTGGATCCGTTGGGATATTCCACGCTTGGCAAATACGTACGGAAAAGAAATTCAGACGGCATTCCAAACAGCTGTACTGCTCAGTCGTCTTGCGTGGATGGCCTCAGATTATTTTCGGGAGTGATCTCCGGCAAGTGGCGACACGTGTGGCTGGGTTGGTAATTGAAGATAACTTCTCCGTGCGGTCCCCTGAACCGTCTGCTAAAAATCCCGAGCACTAGAAGCCTTTGTTCCTAAGAGAAATAGTGCAAGCCTTTGATATTCTTGGTTACCCGGCGTTAGGTATCTACAAAGCAGTGAGATCTTTCCTCAAATATGAGTGCGAAACCTATATTGCATAGTTCACGTGTGCGCGTATGTATGAGAGCGGTAGCTGCTGAAATGTTGACTGATCGAGTTGTCCGACTGCAAGCCGCAGTCGGCCCGTTTCGGTTACTACTTCGTGATGCATTCACAGCTTGATTCCAACAGCCTGTGTTCTGTTGGATCAAAACGCCAAGATTCTTTTCGCCAGAAGACCTTTGAAGTCCCTGGTTACCGATTATGTACGAGCACACCAGCTGGTGTCGTAGGTGCAGCCTGTCCAATTTTCCACCGAAAACCGATAACATAATGAGCATTATGCGCTTCTAGTAAAAAGTTGTTGCAAGAAGTTTGCAAAAGAGTAGTCCTCAAGTTGTATGTTCATGAAAGTTTTCATTTTAAAAATATGTTGGTAAGGTTTGTGCTCTTTCGGTCATTACTTCATTCTCCGAGGTGGATATCAAGCCGGATTTCACCGGCCTTAATCTCGGTTGAATCAGACAAACGATACTCAAGGTAAATAACCTCCCAGAAAACATTTTACCCCTGATGCAGATTTTCGCAGATAATGCTAATACGGAGAGCAATTTGCTAAGCATGCGACCGTGATTATCTCCAAAACGATCTGGACCGGATTGACAACTGGGCAGAAAAAAACCAGCTCCCACTGAACCCTGCAATGTGCTACCTGCTGACGATGCGTAGCAGCTTTAGCAACATATATCTTCTGGGACAGTGCGTTTTGCAACAGATGACTAATGAACGAGAACGAGGTATCATCGTGAAAGAAAGTCTTGGCAATTCGCACCAATACTCGAAAGCAGCAAATGTTGTGAACTTAAACATAATGTATCGTAGAAGGCAGAAGTCACGATTAAACTCCACACGAAAATCTGCCTCGACGGGGAATCGAACCCCGTCCACGAATTTCCGGTCCGTTGCTCTACCACTGAGCTACCGAGGGCTGACGATTAGGTGCGGAATTTAACACGTGACTTCTGCAACGGACCGGAAATTCGTGGACCGGGGTTCGATTCCCCGTCGGGACAGATTTTGATGTGGAGTTTAATCGTGACTTCTACCTTCTACGATACTTACGTTACAAACATCCTTCAATTAAACATAATGGTTTTGAGGCGGCCTCATGACACCTTTGAGCGACGACTAGTGCCACTTTTGATCAAAGCATATCTTCGCCCCAAGATTAAATATGCGATTCAGGCCTGGTGCCCATGTTTAAAACGAGATATTCGTCTCTTGAAGCAAGCACAAAGAAGGGCCACCAAAGCAATGCTAGACTATGCGTTCTCAGTTACGAACTGCGCCCTCGTTTACTGGGTGTGTTCTCTTCAGAACAGCGACGGCTTTGCGGAGATCTCATTCTCACATGCTGGATACTAAAAGTGAGCCTCCTATTTATCAATGCCGACCCTAGCCTCTTACAAACCACGTCGAGGCCATCACCTGAAACTAGTAAGACGAGTCTCTCGTATAGATTGTAGGAAGTATTTTCACACCCTTAGAATCTATTCCCACTGGAATGTATTACCAACACATGTTTGAGATTCGAGAGACTTCTAGACTTCCATCTGAGTACTAAACGCTACACAACAGTGTGAAAAAGTGCGATGTCTTTACAACTTATGATCCATGTTCCACGTCGGAACATATTAGATTTTAATTTTCTTGTGTATGTTCCATCTTGTTGGTCATGTAAAGTTATGCTTTTTATCCCATCATACACTAACTAGTGAACTACGGATCTGTTGATGATGGTGCGATAACAAGTATTTAGATTGTGCTAGTATAACAACCATGACTGTTTTCAAAACTAGAAGAATGACTCGAAAGCCTAATGTACGAAGAGACCGCTCCGTTATTTCTTATGATGCGGAATATAGCAACCAGCCCATAAACGTATTAACTATCCTTCATAAAGGGGATGACCATAACCCATCGGGTCCAGATGCATCATTCCCTCTTCAAGTAACCTTTGCACTCCTGCTTTCTTCAGTGGTGGGTGTTTGTAGTTGAGAAACCAGCTACATTCAGGGAACTCGTCAAACGATGCAATACCGTAGATCAGCTGAATTTCTTTTCTGGTTGCATCAATTAAATTTCTAATCAGCTAGTGATGAAGGCGAATGGATTATTCATGCTTACTGGCAGTTGTCTCCAGGATATCACTTTTTGGAGCCTAAATAATACAGGTCTCATCCACTGAATGCTGTTACAAATCACACCAACCTTCACCCCAAAGACCCCGTCATTCCCAGCCGCTCATAATAAATTCTTAAGGTTCCGATCGGCGTTTCGGCCACACTAAATCTGAACTGTCTGTGGAACCATTTTCGGTGCTTTGGTCTAATGCACAAGGCATTGGAAGTCCTCTCACTATTACAATATTTCAATTTGGGTGAGCAATTGGTTTCCAGTGCCGGGATGGACATTGCCCTATCCACAGAGAATAATTGTCATTTAATTAACATCCGGTTTCAAGATGACGGAGTTAATTGGCGGCTTCCACATGGGTGTTTCAGCCACGCCTTATCAGCTTGCTTAGAAAGAGTACGA